GTGTTTTGGATACATGCTATGCCCTTCACCCGTATCACCAATATAACTGAAGCCCTGATGCCTATTCACCTGTTTCTTCCAGTTCTCTTCTTCCCCCCTTGATTTATTTCCTTCTCAGACTTCTCTCTAAATACTGGGGTCTGAGCACCACCAGGAGTAACCCCTGAGCATCGCCGGGGGTGATCCAAAAAGCAAAATAAATAAATAAATAAATAAACACTGGGGTCAAGGCTGCAACCCGGTTGGAACCAGAAAATATCATGCTGCATGAAGTACGCTGGAAGAAGAAAGACAAATTCAGGATGATCTCACTTCTATGTGGTATACAGAATACTAGATGAGGAAATGTAAAGGGGTGATGCCTCAGACCACATTGATTTTTCAATTTATTTTTAGTTTTTGGTTTTCGGGCTCTACTGGTGGTGCTCAGGGCTTACTCCTGACCCTATGCCATGGGATCCCTCCTGACTGTCACTGTCACTGTCTTCCCATTGTTCATTGATTTTCTTGAGCGGGCCCAGTAACGTCTTCGTTGTGACACTTGTTACTGTGTTTGGCATATCAAATATGTCACCGGGAGCTTGCCAGGTAGGGACAATATAGGGTGCTGGGGATTGAACCTGGGCTGGATGTGTGCAAGGCAAGTGCTCTTCCTGCTGTACTATCTTCTGCCCCTCACACCAATGCTTTGTAATTGATTTATTATTTAGTCTGCTTGGCTTGGAGGAGAGAAATGAGTTTAACAAAAATGTTTCCAGTACCATTGTGTAACTAGGGTTAGTTAATATGAAGACTGACAGGAGGATCCTTATGGTAACTAGAGGGTTTCTCTGCCTGGTGGATGGCACAGAAATGCCAACATTTCATTTTTTTTTATTTTTTACTTTTTAATTTTTATTAGTGAAACACCATGAGGTACAGTTGTAGATTTACAAATTTTTGTACTTGGGTTTTGATTATACAATGATCAAGTACCCATCCCTCCCCCAGTGCCCATTTTCCACCACCATGGATCCCAGTATCTCTCCCACACCCATCCCCCATCCCACCCTTCCTCTGTGACAGGTAATGCCAACATTTTAGAATTATGTAAACAGAGTGGTAACATGTTCACTCTGAATTCTATACAAGTGCAGGGGATACAGACCTCTGCTGCAAAGCCATATGGAGAGTGTCTCTTTGATCTCTCAGGTGCATCTTAGTTTAGATTTTGGAGAGCAATTTCATCCCCAGGCTTGTGAGACCTGGAAGAAGGGGAGAGGGCAGGGAGTCACTTACTCTGTTTGTAGATTGGATGAATCCAAATGACACTAAACCTTTGCCCATGCCCTGTCACTAATGGAGGCCGCACTGGGCACATGGGAGGATGGGACACGGCATCAGGCTGGAGCAAGGCCCAGGCTGCTGCAGAGTACCCCTTTGTATTGTGAAACAAGAAATTCTGCAGAGGGAATGGAATTTTTTAAAATATTTTTTTAAAAATTTATTATTGAATCACTGTGATAGACCCTTGCAAAGCTGTGCTTGATTGGGTTTTAGTCATACAGTGTTCCAACACCCAACCCTCAACCAGTGTCCATTTTCCAGCACCAGTGTCCCCAGGTTCCCTCCCTTCACCTCCCATCTCACCCCAGCCTGCCTTTATGGCAGGCACTTCTCTCTCTCTCTCTCTCTCTCTCTCTCTCTCTCTCTCTCTCTCTCTCTCTCTCTCTCTCTCTCCCCTTTTGGGCTTGTGGTTTGTAATGCAGATACAGAATAATCAGTTGTTGTCTCGCTTGATCATTTTCAATTTATTATTGTCATACTTGAGGAAAAGGAATTTGAGTTTGACATGGTTTGATAGGATCCTGCTGAATCACCGACAAACTCAGAAATCAGCTCCACTGCCCTGCCCTCAAGCCTTTCTCACTGTTTTTGAATAGTGGCACATCGATGCAGGCAGACACACTTGACCACGTGTTTAAGCAGGAAGGGGTGAGTAGGTTGGATGCACACATTTTTCTCCTCCAAAGCAGGCTGCTGTGGGTTGTATTCTGCCCATCTCTCCCAGTCTGTCTTGAGCTTTCTCCAGCAACTGGCAACCAAGAGTGACTCTCGGTTGGCTATGCTAAGTGGAATCAGAAGACCTTCCTAAGTTTGACTCAAAGTATGGAACTTTGAGCAAAGAACTTCTCTGAGCCCCCATGGCCTACCTAGAAAATCGAAGAGCACATGGGAAGGCATCATTAACAGTATTTTCAGTCACTGAACCGTAATCAATAAAAAATTAAAGCAAAAAAATGGAATAGCAACATCTGCCATTTCAGTGGTTGAGAAGAGAGGTGGCGTGACTGAACCGCCAAGGAAGGTTCAAGGCAAGGTCTGGGGACTCAGAAAGTGCTCCCTACTGTTTTCTGTGGAGAGCTCACACAGAAGGTGTGAATGTCCTGGGGTGGGTGTTAATGGGCAGAAATTCGCCCCAGGAGTCTTGCTTGCTATTCAATTATATATATATATATATATATATATATACATATATATATATATATGTGAATGAGAGGTTTGTCTTGAGTCATGGGGGAACTCAACAGCATACAAATTCTGCAATATGAGTGGAGGGAGAAAGAAAAGGATCTCCTGGGCTGTTACTTTTTCATCAGATATTGACCCACTCATTACTGGTTGCTGTGAAAAAGACTTGGTGGCCTCTGTGTCTCCCCTGTAAGAGGGGGCAGCACAGTGCACTGCTGGGGTGTGCATGGGGGTTCATAGAAGTGCCATAATGCCACCAAGAAGCTTTGTTCATTTTTTTCCTTTCGGTAATTAATATAGTGACATCCATATCACTGTATTGGGTTAATTATCTCTCAACTTAATTAGTTTATGTTCCCCTAAAATATGCTTTATTAAAAAAGGCCTTTGATGGGAAAGGAAGACTATGTGAGCTTTTAAAATTTATTTATTTAACGAATTACCGTGAGATACAGTTACAGACTTACAAATTTATATGATTAATTTTCAGGGGTGGAGCGATAGCACAGTGGTAAGGCGTTTGCCTTGCGTGCAGCCAGCCCAGATGAGCCTGGCAAGCTACCCTTGGCATATTCAATATGCCAAACACAGTAACAACAAGTCTTAAAATGGAAACGTTACTGGGCCTGCTCGAGCAAATCGATGAACAACAGGGAAGACAGTGACAGTGTTTGACATACAATGATGGAGTGCCATCCCTCCACCAGTGCCCATTGTCCACCACCAATGTTCCCAATATCCCCCCTCCCCCCAACACACACACACACACACACACCTCATTGGAATGCAAATACCTGGGACTAACCTGGTGGTGGGCTACTGGGAGACAAAGAAAGTGGATAAGGGAGGGGAAGGGGGAAAACATGGAGAGGAGAGGGCGAATGATTTTGGTTCTTGTGGGGGTTTTATTTATTCCTATTGAAATTTTTTCTTTTTTGTCAAGAATGCCCTCTCAGACATTCAGCTGAGGTAGAGTTGCATATTTTACCCTCTGGATCTTTCCTCATTCTCATCTCCTTGAGAGATAGAATTTTGCTGAGGGATTGCTCTGCCTATTTTGGGGACTAGTCTGAGATTTTCTTCTTGCTTTCCTCTGGCTCCATTGGCCCTTAAATATAGCAAATAGATATTTGTTTATAATTGGGTTTCAGGGCCTGAGAGCCCCTCCGGGAAGGAGGGAGGTAGAACTGATCCTATTTGTAATACCAAATCCCAGCATAATGCCCTGCAGATCTTCAAACCTGATGAATGTTTGTTTAATGACTGACACAGCCAGAGGCAATTTTCCTCCCATTCTTAGGCTCCCAATCAATTCTTTCTCTCCCCACCCCTTGTTTTGAAAGAGCACTGATTGAAAAACTGGAAAAATCAGCGGATGCGGGCTTCGACATAGTATCAATCTATGGGGTGACTCAGCATGAAGCAAGGTTTACCTAACTGGGAATTGGATTTTTTTGGCCTTTTTAAAATTTATTCAGAGAGATTGAACTTTGCCTTTTCCTCGTTTAGTTGTTAAATTGGTTCCCCATAATCAACTCTCACAGCTACATGAACGTGTGCGTGTATGTGTATGTGTGTGTGTGTGTGTGTGTGTGTGTGTGTGTGTATTGTTTTGTTATTTGTTTTTATTTTTTGAGTCTCATGCAGCAGGACCCTGCAGTGTTGGGGATTGAACCTGGGCCTCTGTAGACAGAGGCCACTAGCCGGTCCACTAGCATTTCGAACTCTCTCCCCACCCCCACATTCTCAGGTCTTCACCCAAGAATCCTGGAATTCTGGAATTCAGTCTAGCATTTGAAGTCATCTGATCTGTAGTATAGAATTGTGTACCACTAAAACGAAACAGAATTTGGCCAGTCATTAGAACTTACTGATTTAAGATGAGAGCAGCAGTATTCACTCTATTTGGGCAGCAATCACACTCAGAACTTGGCTCCTAACATGGATCAGACTCATTTATTTAGTGGCGTCTAAGAATGACCTTGATGAGTTAGCCAGGAAACTAAAGATCCTGGAGACTGTGTGGGAGGTGAGTGAATGCAGTCCCAATTCTGGTGCTTGGTTGATGACTTGCAGTGTTGTTGGTTTGGCATCAATGTGATGCCAAACACATCAGTTTGGCATCAAGAAATGTCTCAAGTGTGCACCACAATCAAGATCAGAGGGGCCAGAAAAACAATATGGTGGGTAGGGTGCTTGCTTTGCAGGAGATCGACCTGGGTTTGATTTTTGGTACCGTTGAGCCCCACCAGGAGTGATCCCTGAACACAGAGCCAGGAGTAAGCCCTGAACACTGCTGGGTGTGGCCCCCCCCCAAAAAAAAATCCCAGAGTATCCTGAATCCTGTGGTTTTGTGATGTCCCCCATCTACGTGTCTAGGAGATTTATGCTAGGGAACTAATCAGGAAATCACCTTCACACTGTGTCTCCTCCTCCTAGGATGAGTCTCCTCCCTGGGGTTCAACTTGACCAATGTTTCTCTTGATAAGAGTGATTTCTCAGCAGCCTCTTCAGCGGGTGTAACGAGAGAACAGCAATCTTCTCTTCTTGTCGGACACTACAAACCTATGTGCACCACACATCCCTCCAGAAGAAGGGTGGAGAGTCTTGGATGACGATGGACCTTCCACCGGACAGGATGAAGGCAGAGTGTGTGACATCCACACCACAAGGGTAAGAGATGCCTCTGATATTTTCTCAGGCACGATCAAAGGAATGAGAGAACAAACCATATGGTGTAGTGACAAAAATGAAGGTCAGACACGCACCAGAGATACTCTTCTGATGGTAAAAATCCTCTGGGCGTTTGGGGCTGATGAGTAACAGAGAACGGGAAAGTGCTAGTGTGGCAGGATTGGATTGGAGTTATGTATGTGGGGGAGGGAGGGGATGCAGTGAACAATGCAGTTTCTCTTTTCAACAACTTCATTTGATTAACTTGTTTATTTGACCACCAGAGACATTTTATTTTGCCATGCCTACCCTGCTGGTTTTTTGACAAACACTCAGAGCTTTTGTTAATTATCTTACTTTTCACTCAATTAGCACAAACCCATGAGCTACTAGAGAGAAAAGTTCCATGTAGGAGCCTCAGATCCTTGGAAACCAGAATCTCAGATTTGGAAGGCTCTGTTGTTTCATGTGTTTGGTATCTGGTTTTGGGCAGGTTCTTCTAATTGTCTAACACACTTATTAGCCATAAGAGCACCCTGATTCTTGAAGGGCTATCAGCATCTCCATTTCCAAATCCATAGTCAGAAGATTTTGGTGCCACTGATATTTATTTCGGTCTGGAGCGATAGCACAGTGGTAATGCATTTGCCTTGTGCTCGACCATCCTGGCCGAGATGGGTTCCATTCCTCTGGCCCTCTCAGAGAGCCCAGCAAGCTACCAAGAGTATCTTGCCTGGATAGCAAAGCCTGGCAAGCTACTGTGACATACTCAATATGCCAAACACAGTAACAACAAATCTCAAAATGGAGATGTTACTGGGCCCACTTGAGCAAATCTATGAACAATGGGAGGACAGTGCTACTGATATTTATTTCATCAAACTCTGCTATCCTCTGCCATGAATTGACTTTTAATCTTTCCCCTTCTGGGCTTGGTGAAAGAGTACACAATCTAGGGGTATGGATTGAGTTTAGATTTTCCATTCTATTACCTTTTGCTTGATTTTATTTTGAACAGTTTCACATTATAGCCAGAATAGAATTTAGCATGGCCTATCTTATAAAAAACATGCTGATTTTCTTTTGTTTGGATTTAAATTAAAAAAAAATTTTTTTTAATGCTTGGGATCAAACCCGGATCTCATGCTTGAAAGGCAAGTCTCCTACCATGAGCTACATCCTCATCTTTATTGGGAATTTATTAGAACAGAATACATCTTTAAAAAGTATTAAAGAATATGGCAATAGTCATGATAAAAATGCTTCCCTTTCCTTTCCATTTCAATGAAAGGACTAGGTAGATTTTTGGATAAGTGGGAAGAAAAAAAGGAATGTGGGATTTCATTTTGTTGCATGAAATTGATTTTAAAAAGTGGTTTTACCCAATAAAGAGGATTACATTTATTATCCTTCTGTTTCTTTTCAGAACAAATCAAGTGCCATATCAGAATCACTCACACTCACCTGTGCGTGTATATGTGTTGGCCTTGAAAAGACACAGCCTGGAGAGCATTTTTCAGAAGTGAGTTTGAGAGCATCAAGCAAAGAGAGAGCTAAGAGGTTAATGGCTTTGAAAATGGTTTTATGAGGAGAAGAGGATCAATGCAGTTTCTCTTTTCAGCTGCCAGTGAATTTCTTGAATTTTTGACATTTTTGTCTTTCTTTTCAATCTTACAAACACCAGGAAGCGCAAGCTGGTCAAATATAGTAGATAATATTCTCTCTCTGAGTGACTTGGGTTGATAGTAGGCAGGCAGTTGAGATCTTAAAGTCTGCTTGCAGAGGACAATGAAAATATCTGATGATTTTTCATTCCTGTGGCCACATACTTGTTGTATCCCGTTGTGCCCTTTGGCATGCTAGTATGCGTGCAGATATCTTTTACTGGAGTGCAGATGCACCTTGGAGATAATGCAGATTGGGTTTCTGACCACAGCAATGAAGCAAGTCGATCTTACAGTATACTGTAGTCTATTGAGTGTGAAACAGCACAGTGTCTGTTTATAAAGAATCGTGCACATACCTGAATGAAAAGTATTTGATAACAGCCACTATCATCTGAGCCTTCGATGGATTAGATCCTTTGACTTGGGGAAGACCATGCCTTTTGTTAATGACTGCCAAGTGATTTATAATACTACTAATAGTAATGTTTCAGAGTGTGGCATCCTTCTACCACTTTCTCTAGGTCCCTTGTTATCCTACCTCATACCCTACAATAGCAAATTCAGTTCAATAGCCAGATTCACAAGGCGGTATCACTGATCACTCATTGTCCTGTTACTATGTTTCTTCATATGCATAACATGTGTGAGATGATGTGTTATTTATCCTTCTTCATTCAACTCACTTCTCAGCATGTCACCCTCCAATTCTATTAAAGTTGTGGCAAACTTAAGAATTTTATCTTTTCTCACAGCTGAGTAATATTCCATACTTTATGTTTATTTATTTATTTTAAATTTTGTACAGCATGGGAATGAGTGATAGCATAGAGGTAGGGTGTTTCCCTTGCACGCAGCTGGCCCAGCTGAGTCGGGTTCTATTCCTCCTCCCCTTGCGGAGAGCCCAGCAAGCTACCGAGAGTATCTTGCCTGCACAGCAAAGCCTGGCAAGCTACCCGTGATGTATTCGATATGCCAAACACAGTAACAATAAGTCTCACAATGGAGAAGTTACTGGGCCTGCTCGAGCAAATTGATGAACAATGGGGGGACAGTGCTACATGCTACTTCACTCTCCAGCAGGCTTACCTGTAACGGGGGCAGCGTCTGTAGCCAGACCCCCAGATGGTTTCCGAACTCTTATTAGTAGAATTTCATACATAAACTATTCCAGCACCTCACCCTTAACCCAGGGCACTGCTTCCCTCCAGCATTATCCTAGGGTCCCTCTCCTACCTTTTCCACTTCCATGGTAAGCTTCCTACCAAAGACAAGTTGTCAGATTATGTTACTTCAGTTTTGTATTTTTAACCCATCATCTGTTCTTGAGCACTTGGATTGTTTTCAGGTCTTGGCTATTGTAATAGTGCTACAATGAATGTAGAAGTGCAAATATCTCTTCGAATTAACATCTTTGTATTCTTGGGGTTAGGTGCCAAAAAGTGGAATTGCTGGGTCAAATGGAAACTCTACCCTTTTTTTTTCTTTTTGAGAAGTCTCCATACTCTTTTACTAGAGTGTGAACAAGGTGGCATTCCTTCCATCAACGAATGAGAGTTCATTCTTCACCACATGCCCACCACTGATCCTTTCCAGTCTTACTGATGTATGCCATTCTCAGTGGTGAAAGGGGTTTGGTCATAGTCAGTTTAATTCATGTTTCCTTGATCAGTGACCAAAGGGCACTTTTTCTTATATCTTTTGGCCATCTGTTTATCTTCTTTGAGGAAATGTCTTGAGTATAAGAGATCTAGGATTTTTTGGAATGGCAAAAGAACATTGCCTGCATTTAAAGTCACCAGCTGCATTGACCTCCAATAAAGGAGGTGGGGGCTTTGAAACCTTGAAGCTGTGCACTGACGTCTCTCTAGCTATCAGAGTTCTAGGTTGTGTTTTCTTTACAATCAAGGCTGTTTCATCTGTACTGGAAACCTGTTGTCTAGTGTAATTCCCTCCTCACCTTCGTTTATGATCTTAGATATTCTGTATTTGCTGTTTGCAACTTTTGTGTCAGTTTTGCTTGTGTTATCTTGCACTTTTGGTGTCTGTTTCTTTCCTTAAACTTTATGAAATAACCCCTGCTAGCTTCAGACCCCTCCCCCCAACCCTCTTTATCATAACCTTTGTTATCCTTCATAGACTAGCTGTGAGTTAGGGGATTACTCTGGTTTAGGTTTTGACTTAAGAGAACATTGTGGCTGGCTTCATATTCTCTTTAGACTACTAAAGCTTTATGTCAGCAGTAAAGCAATTTCTTGTCATTCTTATGTCCTTATGATTCATGTATTCACTGGAGATGCATTTTTAATTTCCTTCAAGAACGATTCCTTTGCTTGCACAATTTGGCTAACTATTTAGCTCGAGGCCTAGCTTTCAGTTTGTCTCTGTTTTCCTCACTGTTTAATAATTTCTAACTTATGATTCAAAGTGATAGACATGAGATTCTCTGCGTTTGAATACAATGGAAGGTATCTGCACCCTGAAAGCCAGACAATATTTGTCAAAATCTGAGCCTCAGGTTTCCCTATTTGGAAACATGGGATATAAGAGTTACCATTTACGACTGCTTGAGCATTCATGGAAAACTTTTACTCATTCATATTCATTTTTCTTATTCATACATACTTATGGTTTCTTAAGATCCAGTATTCACAAGTGAGAAATAAGAGTGACCAGTGGTGGGCTGGAGAGATAGAGCAGTGGGTAGGGTGCTGCCCTTCCATGTGGCTGACCCAGGTTTGATCCCTGACATCCTTTATGGTGCTCCACGCCTGTCAGGAGTGATTCCTGAGTGCAGAACCCGGAGAACCCCTAAGCACTATTGTGTGAATCCCCCAAACACAAAAACCAACCAAACAAAAACGGAGTGAACAGTAGCATCTATGAAGCCCTTAGCACAATACTTGCCCCCCAAAAGATATTTAGTAGTTTTTTTAATTATATTTTTGATAGAGAACTTTACTGTGTAAAAATATAATTATTGTATGAGATGGTAACTGTATGTTAAATTATTTGAAATGAGTCTAAATTGTTTTTCAGAAGGGCTGCACCATTTTAAATTACTACTCTAATATTTGTAATGTTAGAGTAATACAAATTATGTTTGTTCCCCCTTCTCTCCTTATTAATATGTCATGTATGTAGCCCTATGCTATTATTACTCTTTGCTTATAACTGTTATTGTCATTAAAGTGATAATCTCATTGTGATTTGATTTATAGCACAGCAGTAGGGTGTTTGCCTTGCACGCAGCCAACATGGCCAACCCGAGTTCGATTCCTTCGCCCCTCTCAGAGAGCCCGGCAAGCTACCGAGAGTATCTCGCCAGTAGGGCAG